GTAAGGCATTTGACTGCCTTGACCACCAGCTAATCATTGAAAAGCTGGATTCCCTGGGGGTATCAGGGATAGTATAAGAGAATGGTTTCAAAGCTTCCTTACAGACAGGAGTCAGATTGTAGAACTAAGGCACAGAGATAACAGCCTAATAAGGAAAGCAAGATCAAGTTTTCAACCAATAAATCGAGGAGTTCCCCAAGGGTCAGTTATGGGTACGGTACTATTTATTCTTTTTACCAACGATTTGCCGCAACAAATAGGAGACACCTGCCTTACTCTTATGTATGCTGATGACACAACTTTAGTGTTTCCATGAACCACTAGCTGAAAATCTAGAAGTAAAATCCTATGTGTCACTCAGTATGGCCTACCAATACTGCTGTAACAAATGATCTTGCAGTAAACATGTCTAAAACAAAATAGCTTTTGGCCCTGGCCGTAAATCTCATGAAGTGCCACGACTTCCAGATGTAGAGGTGGAAATTGAAGCTAAGTTTTTGGGCATCACACTCAACAAGAATTTAACCTGGACCTCTCATGTCGACAATGGATGTAAAAAAATAAGTTCAACCATCTATGCTCTTAAACACAGGCAACAGATGACATCACAACAAAAGTAGCAGCATACTTTGCACTTTTCGAGTTGCACATGAGATATGAACTTTTAGCATGGGGTGGAACCTCTGCCACTAACATGCAAAGAGTTCCCACAAAACAAAATAAGGCAGTCAGAATAACTGCAGGACTCCATACAGAATCGACAGCTGCATTGAAGCATTCAGGTCACTCAAAGTACTTACCCTTGTAGCACTCTACATCCAGGAAGTTGTGTTATTTGCAGTAAGAAATAACCTTAAAAGGTGTGGCGAAATGCACCAACACAACCTGAGCAACACCATATGCAGTACAACCTTCCACAACATCGCACGGCACAGTTTGAAAAGTAACCTTACGCAGGAATGAAAATCTACAACAGGCTACCTCCAGATCTAAGAAGCAAGACAGAAGATGACCTCAAACCAGCTTTGCATCAATGGCTCATTAATCGACCTTTCTACTCCTTAAAAAAAATGCCTTCAACAGATCTTTGACTAAACAACACCTCAACCACACATTTAGAAAAAAATTGTAAATTGACGCTACTACTATTCTTAATGAATGTGTAAATAAAGATTAATTGTCTATTGTCTATTATAGTACCGGTAACCATCTATGGGAAGTAAAGGTATAATAAATCTGAAATGGTGTAAATTTCCCTACGTAAATTTAAACTTTTAGAAATTTTAAAATGTGCTTTTAAGGCGGGCTCTTACGACAAAGTGCACAACTAAAAGTTGCTCTTACCAAATCTGGACAATTAATGGAAGAGTTTTTTGTGGAAAGCTAACGTATGAACTGCATCGTGCGTGAGGTGATAAGGGCGTGGCAGCAGGCCGGGGGTAACAGTTCTCCACTAGTTTTCTACAAGTTGCTTGCATAAAGTGTGTAGCAACTATAATAGTTTTAGTTTATAGTTTAAACTAGTTCTCTTTATATATATATATATATATATATATATAAAAAAAATGATTACGACAGCAAGTACAAAAATCCAACCCACATTTATATGAAAGGATGCAGGTTTTGGGCATAGCTATTGTTATTGATGGTACTATAATGTGTTTAAGCCCAAAGTATGGGCACGTAGTGGGCAAAGACCGTGAAACACCATAAAAGTGCTCAGTGAATTCCCCCAGGGAAAAGTGCTCAGTGAATTCCCTCTGGGAAAATTACCCGGAGAAAGGTACTCGAGGAAAGTATGGAGGGAAAAGTGCCAGGACTTTCGCTGGGAACAGGTACTTTCTCCCACCCTAAAAGCACTTTCCGACCGTATATAAGGAGCATCCTTGGGGGACTCCAGGCTTGAGCCCGGTGCACCCCGTACCAGAGGCATGTTGAGCCCCAGCATCCGTTTATTCCGTTGAAGTCCCCAGTAGCCAAAGGAGCTGCCTCCCGGGACCATGCATCCGCCGGGAGGGGATGTAAAGCCCCCCCCCCCCAAAAAAAAAATATAGAAGAGATCTTGGAGGGACAGCAGTCTGTATCAGACAGCAAGACTGGCGACATTGTGAGGAGCTGCTGCGTTTGGGTTCTGGTTCAGCAAATCTAACTGTTGTGAACTTAGTTTTAACACAATGGCATGTGTTAGACACAGTTCTCGATTTGTGGGGGAACGGTGTTCTCTTACGGTACCTCTATTTTGGAAAGATAAAAATATTAGAATATAGGTAAAATAAATAATAAATATAAATAAATAAATATAAATATAAATATAAATAAATAAAATAAAATATAGGTACTAATCTACAAGGTTACACCACATTTTTTACAAACTGTGCACTGGTTAGACAAATCCTTCTAAAGCTGGGTTTTCCTAGGAACTAAAGCGGAACTCGGAGAGCATAGATTTGAAGAAGCAATTTTCCACATGTACAAGGGTGGTCCACTCCACAAGGAAAACAGTGCTATTACACTACCTGGGACACCACTCTACGCTTCAATAACTAGGGAAACCCCGCTTAAGATGGATATGACCAGACAGGATCTCAAATATTAATCATTAACTTGACATATGAATGGGCTTACCCACAACTTTTTAAACGGTATAATTCATCACTAAAGTAACTGTTTAAACACAAACTAAAGTTTAAGAAAGTTAAGCGAGGTTTGAAAAGACTCTTTTAGCCTGTGTGATGATCTATATTTTTGTCATATTGCAACATTATTTAAACAAACCAAGTTACGAAAAGAAAATACTTTTCATGTAATGATAATTTCCCAAAATGACTCTAATCTTGTTTTCAATTTTGCTATAGTGAACAAGCAGTAGTGTTTAGTAAGGTATTGCATCAGGAGACATCGAAACCGGTCGCACTAATGACAACTTAAGGATTACTTGGACAGAATCAAGGTAACTTAACCTAGCTCTTGTATACAAGTATTGCATCAGTTTGTCTATTGGGATTGTATTTGTGTTTATTAAGCTATCCTTAGGGTATCGAGATATCGATATGTCAAAGTTATTGATACAGTATATTAATAGATTTCCTGATATTCTCTTGGGCTTTCATTGTAATAAAAGTGAAGTGAAGTGTAATAAAGTTCCAATGTCATCCAACTCCTTAGATCCAACGTAAATAAATTTGAATCCAGTAAAAAAACAATGCAGCAAAGAACCACAATCGTTTGAAAAAAATGGATACTTTCAATACAAGTGAGCAAAATGTATTGCTGTCATCATCGACTCCAGCTGATGTTTACTCCCTAGGGACTAAGAGACATTTTTTAAGGAGAAAAATAGCTTCTTTAGACCTGTATTGAAAACGGCACCCCCATTCACAAGAAACATTTGAGGAAAAAATATATATCAAATTATTGCTTTTGTTTGCTTCAAAGATTCCTACAAACTTGACCTCCTGGAAAGCCTCAAAACTTATATTACTTTATTTTTTTAAAGTTTGTGGCGGAGGGCCCGACAAAGATTTTCACTCCAGACCTCCCCTTCCGGGTCAACTGTTAAAAAAGTAATTATTTCAACAAAATATGACAATTAAATTCCATAAAAGGTGTAATGTATTAATGATAAAATCATGGTAGGAGACAGTGGCGTAAATAACACCCTCCCCAACCCCCGCAATGCGGGGAAGCGCTGAAGTCCAATTGTCACCGCCAACGTGAAATAAAAGTGAGTTTGTTTCCGTGACCGCGGGAGACGAAGATGTTGTCTACAAGACCGAAGAATATAATCATGATTTTGACGATGTTTCCGTGACCACGGGAGGGGGAGATGATGTCTACGAGACTGAAGAAGATATTCACGAATTTGCCGCAACCACAGAAAAAGATTACGTAATTTCAGTGACTGCGGGAAAGGAAGATGATTTATACAAAACCATAGAAAATATTTATTTTTTTGCCGCAATTGTGGAAGAAGGTGTTTCTGTGACTGTGGGAGACAAATATGATGTTTTTAAGACCGAAGAATAAATTCATAATTTTGACACAATCGCGGAGAAAGATTAAGTTGTTTCCGTATCCGCGGGATGCGATGATAATGTCTTCAAGATCGAGGAATATATTCATAATTTTTCTGCAATTGCGGGAAAAAATATGACGTTTCCGTGACCACGGGAGTAAACTGCTACATTAACACAGGAGATATTCAAGATTTTGTGGCAATCACGGGAAATGATGAAGATGTTTCCATGACCAACGGAGGCGATGAGAAAACATCCGTGAGAGTTTTGGATTTTGCTGTGATCACAGCTTTTGCTGAGATAAACCAATGAAAAATAAGTGGTGATGTTTTGGTGGTGGAAGGGGGCCATCCACATGGTGGTGGGGGGTCACGCTGTTCATTGTACTTATGCCACTAGTAGGAGATCCGTAGGGTAAGTTTTTTAAAATCATTTTTTGTCTAGTTATATGGGGTTTTCACACCTTTTCCAAGAAAACAAAAACTTGGATCCAAAAATATGTGTTTGTTCATAGAGGTTCCTTATCCTCTTAAAATTTGGGGGAGACCCTATATTGTTAAACATTCAAACAAATCATCCTAAAAATAATAATTAAACATTGTAATAAGTAATGTTACGTGCATAAAATAGGTAACACTTTTAGTTCAAAGCCAAAAAACTTTAATTACAAAAACAACCGGTTTAAAGACTACACTCCCGTATTGTGACAAAAGTTAAAATTTGCGTTTTAAAAAGTAATTTCCTATTCGCTAGTAAGTTCTGAATCAAAGAACCAAAGGACCATTGAACTCTTTAGTATATTTCCTTTCCATCTCTGTAATTCAAGCACGTGATTAGGATAAATAATATTTCATAACCAAAGTGATTAGTTTTTGCTTGTTACTGAATGTGATTATTTCATACTGTGTTTACTACAATAGATAAACCCAGACCTCCTTATCAAAAGTCAGTGACTTAACAATTCTGACATTGACCCCAGCCCCAGGCCAGGGTTGTTCACTCAATTGAGGTTGAGAGCCGGCAGGATTGACATTGCACAGCATAGAGGTGAGGTTATTTTATTATAATCATATAGGAAAGATGTAGTTAAATATTAAAAGTGTCTCTCTTGTTTAACAATTGAGGAACGCATTAAGATTCTGTGTTTTGGTGTCAAAACTGTACCTTGACCACAGAACATATAAAAAACCATAGTGTTATCCCAGCTTATTATCCGCCTTACATAGACCCTATCTTTAAACCAACACAAATCATTATAGCTTTAACACAAATTTGTAACATACTTTTAAGTGAAACCCCCTTTTGCTTTGGGTGCAAACCATTTACAGATAATGTTTGAAGTTGATCCTAGATTGTATAAACATAATTAATTCTACATTTAATTTTATTTGACTTTTATCACTTCGTTGAACAAGTGGAACTAATCTTTACATTAGATTGTCCAAGTTTTGATAATGCACACAATTTTCTCAATCTTAAAGGCATAGAAAAATATTTTAGCTGTGTGCAGCCCACAGGTAAATTCTACAAAATAATGTTAAATCCATAGATAGGTGTTCCATGATCAATATTTTTTTTTGGGGGGGGGGGGGCACGCACAAAATATCAGCACTATGAAGTCTAAAAATAAGCTAAGCTTTTGTATTAAGTTAAAGATAGGCCCCCAGTGCCCACCACTACGGGAGACCTATGGTAAAATTAACCAAACCAGGTTGATTAACCTAGGTGGTTATTGTTTAATTTGAGGCTTGCACTTTACATGTGATGCGCTATGGGCCCAAGAAATAATTGCGCCCTTCTCCAACTGCATTGTGGGGAAATTTTTCTCTCCCTTGAGCTAACAAATCTAAAATTACTTGTGCCCCTGGACCGAGCCCAATTATAAAAGTATGGTCAGGGCTGTTTAATTTGTTCTGTTTTTTGTTGTTTCTTTTTTACAATTGTGTATAACTTCAATAAAAGGGATTTTTCTGATAAAAAGTACCGTTTTTTTGTGTGTTCCGTACAGATGGGGCCAAAATGGCTGATAGCAGCAGTGCTGACTTCTGGCTGTCTCTGCAATGCTGCCAACATACTCGTCATTCAACCAACTCCTGCCAGGAGTCACGTGATCGCAATGGAGCCATTCTTCGAAGAACTGGCCTCAAGAGGTCACAATGTAACATTGTTAACCTGCTTTCCTCACAAACCTCCGCTACCAAACTTGAGGGAAATTGATTTTTCTAACGTATTACCTCCTCTGATCAGCGGCTTCAGCTTTGAAATGATCAAAGAAGTCATGCCAAACCCCTTTAAAGCCCCGATCTTCATGGCCGAAGTAGAGTTCAACATTTGTGAAAGTGTTTACCCCGATCAAAATCTAAGGAACATTCTAGAGTCTAATGATACGTTTGATGTAGTGATAACTGAGATATTCTCCACGGACTGTTTTGTACCTTTAGCGCACAGGTTTAAAGCTCCGCTCATCTCTATTGTAACCAGCAATCCTCTTCCTTGGGTCGCAGACCGGGTCGGGCTTCCAGACAATCCCTCTTACATACCTAACTACTATTCAGAATTTTCTAGTCAAATGTCATTTTCTGAAAGGCTCTACAACAGCGTTGTTCTTCTTTACAGTAAATTCATTTATAAATATTACTCACTGCCCAGAGTTCAGAGGCTTGTCGACTTTTACTTGGGCCGTTCTATTCCCCCGATAGCTGAACTGACCAAAGAAACATCTTTGGTTTTAGTGAACAGCTATTTCGCCTTGTCAGAAAGTCGTCCCTTCCCACCAAACGTAGTGGAAGTTGGTGGAATTCATTTACGAAATTCTGGAAAACCCTTACCTAAGGTAAGTTTTTTTTTGACAATTCATTGCAAAACAATAGTTTATTTATTTTTAGGAACTCATAAAATTAATGATCAATAGGGTTTCCATGCAGGGGAATGCACTGCAATAACCTTTCATAATATGTAAGCTTTACCTTAAGCTTACATATTACAGGCTGGACCAAAGTTCTAGGCGTCTGGCGGACGCATGCGCATTAATTTGCTGTGTTAATTCCCCATCTGTCAAAACTTGGGCTAACATATGATTAAATGCAAATTCGTTATTACGCATGCGTCAGCGAGACGCCTAGAACTTTGGTCCGGCCTTACCTTATGATTGCCAGGTTCTTGAAGATTGTAGATGTTTAAGGTAGATGTATATTTTGCCACAAGTGTGGCATCTTCAGAAGCAGAGTTTATTAACACATAATATCACTTAAAAACATTAAAAACACTTTTCTATTTTGGCGCAGGCGTAGGAATCTGAGCGTGTGAGTGGAATCATTTGTTCCTGGAACTGGGAATACCACATAAATATGTAGGGGAAGCGTACTTTAAAAACTAAAGTTTAAATTTGTGCCCCCTCTAACTCATGCAAAAAACAAATACATCAACTTGTTCCTAATATACTGTAATTTTTATTGATTTCATAATAAAAACTGTTTTAAAACTTGTGTGTTATGAGTAAATACAAAAAAAAAATAACTATTTTACCTACAACTGTTTTTTAAAGTAGGTAGCCGTTTCAGTACGGTTCTTAGAATTGAAAAGTATCTCATAACAGCATTGTTTAGGGGAGAGTGGGGATCCTTGAGACAAGCTTTTTATATAAATTTTATTTTTTTTCCTATATGACTTGAAGGGCTAGATTATGTATTATTATTAAGCTTAAGTATATACCTTTATCTTCCATTGAATTTCAAAGATCTATACTAAGTCATAAAAAAAAAAATAATAATTTGTAATTTTTGTAAAAATGTCTCAATGTGCCCCACCTATGGGGTACGTTGAGACAGGTGGTGGGGATGGTTGGTTTGGGTTTTCCTTTGTCATTTGAAGGAGACGGCAAGATCATAACTATATCTTTGATTGCTACACTGCCAATGTCGTCAACATTTGGGAAAAATAATGAGTTTTTCATTTTAGAAGATTTTCTTAAAAATTTTACAAAGAAGTCTCCATTATCAGTTTTTGTAAGAACTGTTCCTGCATAGAAAACATCTTTTCTGTCCAGAACAAACTTAACAAGCACAAAATCTTCTAGGTCAACCTGCTCTACATGGAAGTTTGTTTGTCTCAACCTTCCCCGCCTAATTTTGTCTCAACCTTCCCCACTCTGCATTTGTAAACAAAGCCGACATTACTACTAAAACGAATAGAAATTGGCGAATAAAAACACAGCCAATTATACACATGGCCTGTTCAACAATACAAATCTTAACAAATTTGAACTATAAGTAAACTAACAGTATTAACTTACCCAACGACTCAAGTATTTACTTTTGATGTTCACAAATACGTTTAACTCACTAACTCAGACACAACCATTCAGAGAGATACAATATGCAGACTGGGGTTATAGGAGAAAGAAAACAACAGTTTGAGCTCAGTGTTTCCAACCGGCAACATTAAATTACCCTAAATTTATCTTTGTCTCAACGTTCCCCTTGTCTCAAGGATCCCCACTCTCCCCTACTTTCATAACAGCATAGTTTTACTCATAACAACACAGGTAACGTACCAATGTGGTTCAAGGATTGAGAGAGGAGAAGTAAAATTGTAATGATTGGAACTTCATCTAATCAGCTGTCAGTCCAATTTAATTGTTGAGTGTAGTGTGGTATAGTGCAAAATTAGTGTTTGGTACAGTTTCATTGCATCACTGTCAGTGGCAATGAGAGGTTATAAACTAAAACATAACCTCTCTTAAACGTTATGAGTAGTGATTTTTAGTAATTAAAACACTGTCGTAGGTAAAGTAGTGTACGCAACTACGCAATTTGCGTAAATAGTATAAACGACACTCGTAGAAGCTTTTAAGGCACTCGCCTAGGCTCGTACCTTAAATTTTCTTCTCGTGTCGTTAACACTATCATTACGCAATAATTGCGTAAACTACTATAACAACCCTGTTATTAATTTTCAGAATCTCAAAGATATCCTGGATCGGTCCACCCAGGGGGTGTTGTTGGTTAGTTTCGGATCCTTGGTTCGGGTCTCCTCAATTCCTCCCTCCATCATTAATATGTTCTTGGAAGCGTTCTCCAAGATTCCCCAAACAATTATCTTCAAATATGAAGAGAATCTTCCGCAAGCGCCTTCAAACGTTGTGGTTCAGAAGTGGCTGCCTCAGCGAGAAGTCATTGGTAAGATAGTTTGACATTTTCATTCGGAAAAATTCTTTTGTATGCTGGAGTGAGTTAAATTCTTCTAACATTTTAAAAGATTATAGATTTTTGACATTTAATTTAAGAAGTGATGCCATTTTTATCTTTAAAATATTAAAATGCTAGGCCTAATATTTGACGTCATCAGTAAAATAATGTCACAGCGCTTTTTGTTTTTAACACAACTAACGCGGTAGGAAAAATCGTGCAAATGTTTTTTTTTTATACTTTTCTTTGAAATGGAGACCATACATATGTAGGTATTTTAAGCCAAGTATGAATGGAGATGAGTGTGGGATGAGTGGCGCGATCTTGTAGTCTTGTTAGTGACTAAGGCCGACATAATCCTTAGACACAGCTGTTAATTAATAACCCATACAGCTAATGGCAACCAAGGGACCTACAGTTTATAGTGGAATCTTAAGACCACCTCCAAACTCGCTCTCCCTAAGTGAAAAAGATTACTTGATTTACGTCCGTCAACTTTCGATGCTCGATAGCAGCTTATTCCCTTAACTGTGTGGCAACCCTAACCAGTTCCCATCCTAATTCAAACTTAGTCAAACTTTAGTCTTATCATAATATCTGAAAAATATATGAAAAAATTTTGGTTGGGATTGTTAACTCCATATACATTCTTGGGAAATACCTTGGGCAGGATTTTCAAATCTGCTTCAATCTCGAGGGCTATCGTAGCAACTTGTTTCCCGATTTTCTGCCCCAGCAGTCTAGGATTTTCTTAGGTGAGTTTGTTGAGCCTTAATGTACTACATAGCCGTGTTAAAAAATAAACGTATAGAGGGGTGAAAGAATTAACCTTTACAGAATACACATCCTGGTTAAGAATCAGCTGATATTACAACAAAACTAAACAAGGCACCTCACTAGACTTTTAGTGATTAAATTTGGGCTAAATAAATTATACAATAAAGTCAATGAGTGACGTCATCAACTTAATTGCTGAAATGAACTTACTTCTCTTACTTACTCTACCGTACTTCTTTGCAGAACACAAGAATGTCAAGGCCGTACTCACCCACGGAGGACTAGCAAGCATCATAGAATGTGTTCACTTTGGCAAGCCTCTGGTTGGAATTCCGTTCTTTGCTGACCAAACCCTCAACATAAAGGCTGTGGCGAAGAAAGGCGCTGGAATATTGCTCAAACTTGAGGATCTCACTGCCACCAAGATTGAGGCTGCACTTGTTTCTGTACTAAACGGTCCCAGGTAAGTTTGGGGAAAGTAGGATTTATGTCTGAACTAGCTGTTACCCACGGGCTTCACGCCATTTGACTTCACAAGTATTAATAAAACTATTGATTGGTTAAGTTAAGCTGAAATAAACAAAACAGAATGCAATAATTAATAAAAACAAATAATCACACCTGATTTTAATAAGGTAATAAATTGAAAGAACAACATACAGTTATTTAGTACAGCTGTGGTATTTTTAACCTTAGGTATATGGAAAGTTACCTTTATTAGAAAGGAATTAAGACCTGAAAGGGCAATTTGTGAAATAATGGATAGTTTTGCGCAAGGTAACTAAAGGTAAGGTAAGGTTTGTTGCGTCATGACAAATATTTTAAGTATATGGTTTATGGGGGTGTGACTTTGTAGTTTTCTCAAAAGTTCATGGGTACTTTGGGATTTATATATAGATGTCATATTTCAAAAAATGTTGACTGAATGATGTTTATTCTTAACATGTTTACATTCTTCTAGTTGTTCATTACAAATTAAAGGAGTTTACCTTCAGTTACTGTTCAATAAATATGTTACATCTTATCCAGTGCATGCATTTATTAGTACACGCCACCAGTTTGAGTCACAATAATTTTGTTTACTAAGTATAGTCATAGATAAAACATACTTCCTTAGTAGATTAGTCATCCTAATGGAACAGCTGAAGCCAATTTTATTGTTAGTTCTGTACGTCCAACTATAGAGGTTATGTTTTGTTTACAATTTATTTCTTGTTATTGCAGTAATTTAAAACCTTGTTTAACCTAATAAAACGATATAATCATAAACAATAACTGATCTCCTAGTTATATAACCACAAATCATAAAACTAGTAAAGCACAAATCATGAAAATAACCCTAAAATAATGGAAACAAAATGTTGTCTACACTAGCGATCAGTGTGGACGTACATGAACTAGACGCAAAAAACAAGCTTCGTTGCTTAATCTATGGTATAGTTTAGTGGCCAATGTCACATAGCTGAAGATTGCAGGCCCGATCCTTTATGATACCAATTCTGGACCCAGATGTTTATTGAGGTGTTAAATAATAAGGCCGGTGCCACACTATCCCGTTTCACCGGGAGCCGTTTGGCGGGATGATTCAAACTCATCGGTTTTAATGGGCACAGTCACATTGCTGCGGTTGCATTGCGTCGACGGGATCCACCGCATGCATGCTGCGGCGTAGCGGGAAGACCAGACGGCGGGATAAAAGGCAAAACACATGCAGTTAAATGAGAGCAGCCACACCATCCGGTTGTGCCGCTTATCCCTACTGTTGTTGCTATCAACAGAGCTCAGCATGTGATGCTTGCGCTCTTCACTCGAAGTATGTTGTGGTAGAGCAGGAAGGTGTGACAGGGTAACGTCAATGCGGCAAAAGCGCATACCACTCAACCGCATTCTGCTCAACTGCATCCTGCAAAACGGGATAGTGTGGCGCCTAATGCTATCTTTATGTTCCAGCTACACAGATAATGCCAGGAGGTTATCCCTGCAGTACCGTGATAGGCCGATGACCCCGCTACAGTCAGCTGTTTTCTGGACTGAGTATGTCATCAGACACCAGGGAGCGCCACACCTCCGACCTGCCTCCGTCCAGCTGGCCTGGTATCAGCTGTTACTGCTAGATGTCACTGCTGTGTTGCTGCTGCCGCTAGTCCCTCTGCTCTATATCATATACTTCCTCTTCTTCCGAGCTGTTGAAGTCAGCCCCAACGACTATCGGAATTACGAGAAGAAAAAGTCAGAATGAAAAGTCTGTCAATGTGCTATAGGTGATCCAACTAAATTATGTTTGCTTGGAGCGGACAGAATTATTTTGTTGGAGGGGACACGCACCGGACTATTTTGGATTGAGCAGTGAGCATACCTCGAGGGACCATAAAGGAAAGAATTTTAATTTACAGAACTTAAAGTTTAATACTATTCACTTATGACTAAAAATGTTTTTCAAATATCGATGTTTGTCAAATTGTTGTAAGTTTACGAAGCGATATTTTTTTTGTATACTAATTATTAATTATTATTTACATTGGAATTAATTGGTGCAAATTTTTTATATGCAATATGTAAAGTAAGTAATTTTTACAGACACAATTCTATAGTGTTTATTTAATTATGTTTGTTTTTGTCACTTTTATTGTAGGCTAACAAGATATTTTTTTTTCAAATTTAGTACCGTAGGATTGACGGGAGCAAAATGATGTTTAAACAAAAGAAAATAAGAATGAAAAGAAAGTTGAAAGCTAAAGCTTGTGTATGGCAAGAAATCTCTAATTCGAAGTGATTTGAGTAACCACTCCAAGAACAAAAAGTTCAAAATTTTGATAGAATATAGGAGTAAAAAGTGCAACTGTGATACTTGTGTAAAAATAAAAACTGTTTTATAATAATATATTGTGGCAATTTATTTATTTCAAAATATCACATACAAGTGCACAAACCAGTATATAAGATATTCCACCACACTTGTAGGGTAGCTGAGTGGTTATAGTGCTCGCCTAGTAATCAAAAAGATGCCAGTTCAATCTTGAGAAAAGTGTGTAGCACGAATACTAGAAAAATACCGGTTTGGATCATAAAAACAAATAACGTTTTTTGCGCAAAAGTAAACAAAACCCCTATACTAATAGCATTCATTACATATGGTTTTGTTTTCTTTCGGGCCAAAAACATCATTTGTTTATGTTTATGATCCATACCCCGTCTTTTCTAGCATTCCTGGTGTGTAGCTTAATAGTTTGATACTGGACCCAGCTGAACCCAGCTTGATCATTGGTATTTTTATGGCCCTGACTAATGAAACAGCTGGTTTTAGTCAGGAAGAAAGTTACACAAGACATCATGCTCCATTCTACACTCATATTTTGGGTTAAGATACGCACATAGGTGGCGTTACCATCTCAAAAGGTAATTATTAGAATACAGATAACCGTGATAAGCCCTAAACGTGGTTGAAGTTAAAAACATGACTTTACACAATACAAATACAATCTGACAAATTGACACAATGTGTATACAATGTTCATTGACAATCTTTCATTAACAGCACTGAGAAAATTAATTTATGGGTGGACCGATGCTTCTAGGTGTCGAGATTGCTTCGGCAAAAAACTCAAAAAAGAAACCCAAAAAAAAAAAAAAAAAAAAACTCATTGGTACAATAGAGCCTTGTTCACACAGGAAAAGTTTAGAAGCTACTTGCCAGCGAGTATGAAGCCGACGAGCAGGCCCCTTGTATTAGAGAGAGTGCCCTTGTATTAGTTCACACGGAGCTTTTCCACTCACTCAGTAGCTTCAGACCACTTGGTGACAGTTTATTGTGAAGTCTTGCTGGTTGTGTTGGTGTTGTATCATTGTTTTTGTTTCCCTGCATTCAAACATATTGGTGATCATACAATTAAGTATACCAAAAGTTCCCAGCCTTGTGGAACATCAAGAATAAGAACTATAAAGTAATTTTGTTGAGGGATACGTTGTTTAAGAAAAACTGATGGCTGAACTGGAGGAAAATCAGTGTTTAAGGGAAATGGGTCAACAGCTTAAGTCTAAAATAAAGTCTCTGAAATGTCTACAAGACTGAACTCCTCTGAAATCTTTGAATAATGCCCACAAGCCGCACTGTGTTCAAAATGGGCTACTTTACACGCTAGCTCGCTCACAAGCTGGTGAGTAGGCGTGTGTTAGTCCCCGGCAGAGTCAAATTTTTTCAGAGCTTTCTTAAATGCCACTTTTGAGTGAGTACGTCGTTCACACTGAGCTAGTTTACGAACTGCGAGTAATAAAGCCGGCAAGTAGCTTGTGCTCACACCAAGTGAATCTGGCTTTAGGTCTAAGGCACAGTCTCTATGGCCAGGGAACACCACCCTGATTAGCCAGATTTCCTAGGGGCGGAAGCAGAGAGTAGAGAAAAGAACCTATTCTCCTCTTGCTTTAGGTAAATTTAAGTTAATGGTACGGTTTTCCTAAAATGGGAGCAGACCGCAGATGGGAGCAGCAGTGGGCGTAGACCTCCACTGGACGAACGGAAATCACTTCTCCGTACTCTGCTCTCCGTGTTCTGTGCTACGATTCCTCAACTTTTTCCCAGCCTAAGCAGTAAAAGTTACACGTGAAACATCCTTCCAATCACAACATTCATTCTTTGAATATACTAAAATAACTATAAAACACAGGTAAAAATTAAAGGTGCGTGAAAAAAAAACATTTTTAGACAAACAGTGATTTGAGCTTGGTTAAAAGGAAAATAAAATTTTGTTTCTCATCGGTCTATATCCTTCAAAACTACATAGTAAGAGTATACTAAAATACATCTACATTAACACACATTTTTTCAATTTCATGAAGAATATTAGGTACTCATACATTATACATTATACTGTATTTCATATCCGTTTAGTTAGAGCAATCAAATAGATCAAAAGCGACTTAGTTTTTTTTATTTTCTGCAAGTTCTGTCAGGTTAATAGTTAACAACAACACACTTTATTGCCACTCGACTCACACGGGAGATTAAAGCAATCACTGACAGCTGGGAAATAACTGGAGAGTCTATTTCAGTCTCCACAGTAAAATAAAACTACCATTTATACTTCAATCCCAACTCGCAATGAAAAATCATATGACACTGTCAACTTAATTTTTCAATTTTAAGTTAAATGATCCACTACTCTTCACTCGTTAGCCTAAAACATTTATGTACTATGTTACTAAAATATAGATATCATGTTACTTCATAGTAGTACACGTTTTACTCAGAAATGAAAATTTTCCTACATTTCAATAAGAATGTTACTAAAAATGAAATGCACATGCTACTAATAAGTAGCTTACTCGTACCAAACAGTAAATAAATGTTACTACTGTTAAACTTAAATTTTCTTATCTTCCTACCTGTTTGTATTGACACTTATTGATAATGCAGGCTTGGTGGATCCAGACTATTTCAAATGCAGACTACTATGTCTTCTAAAAACAGCTGATAGAGAGAGTAAAGGAAATATCACTAAAACATAGAGCGCCAAAAGGAAATCCTTAGTTGGCAGGCAATTTCCGTGTTTTATGGTGCTTTATCTTAATGGTAGTGATTATAAAATGGTAAAAAATATAATAAAAAAAACCCTCACCAGCAAACCTGCAGCCTTAGCAAATTTCCATTTTCCTAGCTGGATTTCTGCTAAAATATAAAAAATTCGCTACAAGTCCCCCAACTCTTCCAAGGTAAACTGGACTCTGCTGTTTGTGCCTGTCGTGCCGATCTACCAGCCTTGCCAAAAAGCTTAAAACAGTAGCTCGTGAACTTTCTAGACCATTAAACTACACAAGATTATTAAAAGTGCTGTACCGTACCAAATGATGCCAGATTTTTGTTGGTAATTTCAACATCATTAATAACAATTTACCTTTAAAAACCATAATTCCAAGTACCTAGTTATGCATTCATAGCTTTTAAGGAAAGATGTATGTAAATAAATAAATAAATACATTTTGTTTACAATTTTTGTTTTTACACAGAATCTTAATCAAGTACGGTATACCAATTTAAACTATCGCTAAAAGCAAGTACCAAGTTAAGGCGTGTGGTGTTGAACTGTGAGACTTTGGACGGAAACTGTTTAATCTTATTTGAAGTTCTGACACCATCAAACCGGAACAATGAGGCTTAAGCGACAAGTACTACAACTTGTAACCTTCATTTTGTATTGGACAATACTGAAACTACAAGTGACCTGCTACCATTGTTTGTACTGTAAAGTTAATAATTGTATAAGTTATATAGGGTATAGCGTAGTAATCGATGTAAACAGAGCCGTCTTTAGGTGGTGTGGGACTCAGTGAAAATTCAGAGCCGGACTGCTTCTGGGAGCGAGCTGGTGAAGTGGTAGAGCTAGAGACTTTGGTCCCTGAGGTTATGGTTCAAGTCCCGCTAATCACTTATTTACATAACTAAAAAAAATTTAAAAAATTAAAATTCTCTACATACTGGGTATATTTGGATACATCACTGTCTAATTGAATCAATCCGATTGTTGATTGAGCAAGAGTTAACAAAATAAGCTGCATTAGCATAAGGTAAAGAGTTATAAAAGCTATAAATAAATTAGTGGAAAACGACCAAAAAGGCATAGTGTGCCAGCTGCTAGATTCATTCAAGTTGTAACACTTGCAGGAACCTAGTTTACATACACTCCATATCAGCATTTGAACAAGCCAGTTATTGTATCTGCTATTATGTGAACCACACTAATTACTGGTGAAGTGTTAAAGTTGAAGCACACTTCAGCTTGTGGTGTTAGGGACAGACACTTCACACAACATTATTGCACTATCTGCATATTCAACTTGAGCACAACATATAACACTACTTGGTGTTCCAAACCAAATCTGATACTATATTATAGATTCACGTTAGACACTTGAGGATAACTGTCTACTTGTGATGTCCAAGAAAAATATAATTCAATAATTTAGTCTCTCAATGTTTACAATTGTTTAAAGATTACTTTGTGGCAATTAATCATGCTGCATCCCATTTTTAAGATTAAGATAAATGATGGGAAAATATTATAATTAACAATTTATAGAATTAGACATCATATTCTAATTTCTTATCCAGATTTAGAATAAACATTTACGTAGTTATAAATTGATTAACCAAGATTTTACGTCTATTTTTAATTTCTTTCAATTTTAAATTTTTTTCTACGCAAATTTTTCAATTGCTCTGAACAGAAATTGAACTAAATATAATTGACTAAAATTATTCAATGTTGTATAAAAGGTTTTATTATAGTTAAAAACAAGAACACCTTTATTTGACAAAAACATGCTGCTAAGCATTCTTTCTTGTTGTGCACAGCATGTATAAGGAAATCTTTTTTTTTTGACAAAGAGGGCTTCCTAGCACTTGATTATAGTACAGAAAGTTGCTAATTGTGGCATATTTACTTTTTCTGCACTCTTTTTACTTTTGCCGCACAAACACAAAAAATGTCTTATTCCAACCAAACAACACAAAACATTGTGCTTTTATTAGGCACGTAATACGTGTACGCTTGAAAATAAGTTTGAAACACTTAGATATTACGACTACGATCAGCTGGTGCAGCTGGTCCATTTCACTGCATTTAACCCAACCTAAAAACGTGTTGTATAGTGTTTGAAACACTGTAGGAAAAATAACATGTCTAACGCAAGTGCAAACTGCCTTTGCTGCACTTGAGAATCTTTCCACACTTAATTGCCTACGGCGCGTGTGTAAACATTTCTCTCTTGTGCAGCAAAGTGCCTTCCCACCCACTAGTTGCACAAATAACAATTGTACTCTCAAGTATAAACTGCAAAATATTACTGGAAAAGTGTTTTTGTTCATTAGATAAATTAATTCCTTATTTT